CCCAAGTACTGGCATTCTTAGGGACTGCGGGATATTACAGGAAATTTGTCCCTGACTATAGTACCATCGCTAAACCCCTGACAGATTTGACAAAGAAAAATTTGCCAAGAGTAGTCCTGTGGTCTCCCGCCTGCGAAACAGCATTCCAAACCTTGAAACAAGCCCTGATCAACGCACCGGTTTTGTCTGCCCCCGTCCCTAACAAAAGATTTGTTGTCCATACAGATGCGTCCATGTACGGACTGGGGGCAGTTCTGAGCCAGGTCGGGGAAGATGGAGGGGAACACCCTGTCGCGTACCTGAGTAGGAAACTATTACCCAGGGAAGTGAGTTACGCGGCAGTGGAAAAGGAGTGTCTAGCCCTGGTCTGGGCTAGAAGCTCACCCCATACCTCTACGGTCAGGAATTCACGTTGATCACAGACCATAACCCCCTAGTATGGCTTAACCGAGTGGCTGGGGACAATGGACGATTACTAAGATGGAGCCTGGCACTACAACCGTACAACTTCTCCATCCAGTATCGCCCTGGCCGGTTCAATAGGAATGCAGACGGACTGTCCAGGCAAACTGAACTTTTACCTTGACTAAAGACCGGACAGCCCAAAGTTAACCCGAAAAGGATCAATCCGGGTCTGCTGGAGTGTTCCACAAAAGGGGAGCAGTGTAACAGAACTATGATTATGCCTATAGTTTTGCCTGGACTTAATCAACAATGCTGCTGGAGGGGTTAAACAGAACCCAATGGCTGGTTTTCGTGTGAATATTGCTACTATAACATACAACCCAAAATACCGAACATCAGACCACCCAGGGGAACAGTTAATTGCTATTTTACCTCCCAGTGATTGTGGAGCCGTTCGCATGGTTCAGACGAATCCCTTTGTGCTCAGGTTAGATGACCGCCATTTCGGGACTTTACACGTGTTCGCGGCCATCTTACGCACGAACGGCGGTGTTTGCCTGTGAACGCATGGAACTAAAAACGGATACACAAACAGGCGAACACCGCTGAGACCTCCAGGAGCTCGTAAGTTCGTGCTGGAACTACCGAACGACCGGCCGTTCGGTAGTTTTGTTTAAGCATTCATGGGGATTCAGGTGAACACCAGGATTACTGTGGATGGCAAGGGGTTCGTGGGGTTTTTATGCACGAACGGAGACCGACCGCAAGGCCAAAACTTATGGAACTCTTTTTGGCTGGAAAACCTGTGCGGTCGGTCAAAACTTCAAAGACCCATAACTCCCGAACCCCTCAACCGAATGACCTGAAATTTGGATATATTGTTCCCCTGAGTGAGAGCTATTAAGCGGTGCTGGACTTAAAGGTGTACCCCCTGTTTTTGGGGTACATCCAGAATGTAGTTAAAATTGTGTCTGTTTTAATTGTGTTACATGTTATCTGAGGGGAGGAGATGTGGGGGTTGAACCATGTATGTAATTGGCTGTTGTAATAATTATGTGGGTGTAGCCTTTCAGAGGGCAATATTGCATAAAAGGAGACCCCTGTCAATAAACATCAGTTCTACTTGACCCTTCAAAACGTAGCCTCGTCTCGTTCTTGGAGGGGATTTATGGTACCGTTACTCTGCCTCATTTTACAGCACTCTTGGATTATACAATTGGATATCGTGGATGGGAATAAGAATTCCATTACTTCACAGCAGCTTGCCTAGAAAAGAACGTCTCCAACGGCAGGTACCCCTCTCCAGCAGGGTAGCCGTTACATCCTGGTTCCCGAAATCAGAGAGTCGAACGTGGTTCCCTTCAGGAGGAGCTGAAAGTGTAGAATATCCCACGAGTAAAGAAAGCGCTAGTATTCCCGGGTCCCTACAACATGAGTCGAGGCTGCGAGTTGAGGGTCAAAACGAACTGGCTTTACTGGCACACAAGCATGGCAATTTATGCAAGTCCCCAGGTCCAGGGACAGCCCCCATGGACCTGATGGGATACCGGTACAGTACAAGTATACAAAGGCTGGGTACAGAATCATGCGAATCCCCGCTACCTGTCTGGTTGTCCCATCCGTTCGTGGTGCGAATGGGGCCTGCCCGGGAGAGGCACTTAAACTGCGGCTAACCACAAACCGTAACGCACTTTGCGGGGTGACGGGGTTAAGTGGCGGCACACGCTTAGGGCTGGGTGGTCGGCCGTTCGTACCGACGAAAGACGCTTTATAATCAGTTCGCATAGTCCGTTCGCCTGAGAGAGTCTAAATAAACAGAACTGTACATTAACAATATAACCAGTCCAAGAAAGCGGTCCAGGGGACGGCGACGTGGTTGGACCACACGCCAGTAACGCTCACCATCTCCTCCCCCTATATCAACCGAGGGTCTCCAAGTGGAGACTGAATGAGTACATGCTGTCCTTACCGGATGTGCTGACAGAGACTACTGACGTGCTGAAGGAATACTTTGCAAACAACACACCAGACCAGACTTTGTCTACGTTTATTTGGGAGGCCCATAAATGTGTGGTGAGGGGTCACCTTATCCAGAAGGGGGCCCGGCTAAAACGCAGGGAGAGGCGCGCACGGAGGCACTTATTCAGGCCATACAGACTCTAGACGAGGCCAACATGAGGGATAGCCGCCCCACACACCAGGCCCAGCTCCTACAGTTGAGACAGGAACTAACCACACTTCTGCAGGCCAAACACTATAGGGACGCCACCAGACATAGAGCGTTCTTTGAGGCACACAGCAACAACAGTGGGAAGCTTCTAGCGAGAATGTTAGCCGGGCGTAGACAGCACACATATATAGATAGGATCAGGGATCGAGGTGGGAGGGTGCAGCGCCTACCTTCTAAAATACAGGATGTCATACGGTCCTACTACCAAGACCTGTACTCCCTGCCGAGCCAGCAGGGTGCACAGGCGCAAGTCGACCTGGTGACCCGGATCAACGAGTTCCTCCAAACCCACACGCACACACACCTAGAGCAGGAGGCAGTGGAGGCACTGGAGGCGCCCATCACAGTGGAGGAAATTGCGATGGCGGTGAAGGAGTCCAAGCCGGGCAAAAGACCGGGACCGGATGGTTTACCGCTACGCTACTATAAGAGCTTCGCGGAGGAGACGCGCCTGCAACCACATGTTCTCGCCCTTGTGCACCCGGACCAGGTGGGGTTCGTGATGGGGAGGGAGGCTAGGGACAATACGATTAGAGCGTTATCGATAGCCCATGGGGAGTCGGCGGGAGCCGGGGGCCTTCTCCTGCTATCTACGGACGCGGAGAAGGCCTTCGACCGGGTCGGATGGACGTACATGTTCCGGGCCCTCTCACACCTGGGCATAGGGACACACATGAGGGGCTGGATAGAAGCCATATACCGACAACCCAGAGCCCAAATAATCGTAAATGGGGCTCTCGCAGGACGTTATAATTCAAAACGGCACACGTCAGGGGTGCCTCCTGTCCCCGCTCCTGTTTGTGCTAGCTTTAGAGCCATTTTTACAAGCGATCAGGAGCAACCCAGACATTGCAGGGGTAGATAAAGGCAAGGTACACCATAAGGTAGCGGCTTATGCCAATGACCTTCTCTTTTTTGTCTCCAGACCCGAAATCTCCCTCCCGAATATCATTAAGGCCCTCAGGGATTACGACGAGATCTCAAATATGAAAATCAATTTCGACAAGTCGTGTATACTTAATATATCCATACCTTACCATCGGGAGATATTGCTGCTCCAGGGCTTCCCGTTCAATTGGGCAGATACTAAAATTAGGTACCTGGGCATTTGGCTCACCAGACATAGCTCAGATCTCTTTAAAGGCAATTTTGTCCAGATGCTGTCCACCTTCAGAAGGGAGGCGGGAGAATGGGCGTACCCCCACATCTCCTGGTTTGGCCGGGTACAGGTCGTGAAAATAAATTTCCGACCACGGCTGCTATATCTGATGCAGACAATACCCATATGAATCCCCAGGACATACTTTGGATCCCTCAATAGGACCCTGAGAGAATATATATGGAGGGGGACGAAGCCAAGGCTAAAATTTAAGCAACTGACACAACCCAAGGAGCGGGGAGGGATGGCGCTGCCTCACTTCCACCTTTACTATATAGCATGCCACCTACTTAGGATAATGGAGTGGTCAAAAAAAATGTACACAAACAATGGAAAACAGTGGAGGAGGAAGAGCTAGGGATCCCTATAGCGTTGGCCCAGTGGTTGCCGAGGGGGAGGGGGGACAGAGCGCCCATCGACGTAAGGGCTACCCTGCAAGTATGGTACGGTATAGCAGATAGAGCGGGCCTCACCCCGTACCCATCACCCTTACTACCTCTGACGTACAACGGGGAGTTCCCGCCTGGATTGGACCCACTGGCACTTAGGGACATCATCCCTGACCTCCTGCCTAGGTTACACCACGTTCAGACACCTACGGGGCGCAAGACCCTACCAAATCTTCTGGGAGGGCGGACCCCCACCTTCCTACATCAGTTCCAATACGCACAGTTGGCGAGTTACCTGCAAACCTTACCTCAGGGAAGAGCAATACGACGCACCCCCACGGGTTCGAGCAATTGTGCCTTGAACTGGAACCGCTCCCACATGGGGTATCCATCCTATACAACTTACTCCAACAGTAGAGACACCTAGGTTCCAGGGGAAGTGGGAGAAGGCCTTACACCGACAGTTTAGCGCAGGGGACTGGGACAAAATCTGCACTCTAACGCACCATTGTGCTGCCTTTAGCAGACATCAGGAGGCCACATATAAACTGCTCACACAGTGGTACCGCACTCCAGATGTCCTCCAAAACATGCATCCTGACCATTCGGCACAATGCTGGAGATGTGGCAAGGAGACAGGGACACACATACACATATGGTGGGAGTGTGAGAGAATACAACCCTTTTGGAGGGGCATACATAAAATGCTGCTGATATTCTCGGACCCGCCACCACCCTTTGACCCCTCGGCGATGCTCCTACACCACACATCCACACCTAGCGGCAAATACAAACGATCACTAACTATACGGATCCTCAATATCGCAAAACAAATCATTCCCCGGTACTGGAGGAATACAGAGACACCCACGCTTCGGACGTGGTTTGCCCAAATGGAAGTCCTCAGGGCAACAGAGGACGTTTACATGAAGACCTCAGACAGGGCACAACAATATTTGGACATATGGACACATTGGATAGTGACGACAACAGGGGACTCATTCAAGACAGCTCTAGGGGAGATAGACCAGCCCCAGGGTATTCAGCCCCCCACGGGCTCAGGGAGAACGCTAACACCCGCACAGGAACCCAGACAGTAGGTATCATCGGACTACAGGCCCTAAGGGGACTACGACTCACCCCAGCCACCCAGGACTGACTTGAGACTGACTGATAACGATGCCCCACATATGCCGGGAGCGGTGTGCCCCAAGAGGATAAGTCTATTTTGGCCACCTAAGCTGGACGAGTTCCCCCCAGGAGGAACGCACGGGAGTAGACTAGGAAGGGTTCACGCATTCGGGGGACATTGGGATGGGCTTCATCTGGAGGGCCACACACCAGTAGTGAGAAAGGCAGAATAAAATTTGAGACATATGTTTAACTTCTAAATGCTTGGAGACCTGCGTGTCTCAT